TTCTTCAATTCCAAAAATTTTCCAACATTTCTCGATGCCGTTAAGTAGTACAAGTCAACCATTTCTCGGCCACTCGAATTTCAGGGTGCGGCAAGTAGTGTAGGTCGATAACTTTTCAGACATGCCAAAATTCTCTATTGTAAGACCGGATAAATTCCGAAATTCGATCGGAAAACTTCGAAAATTGCATGAGAACAGTGTCGAGAATGTAGAATGTAGACTATTTAGAATGAACGTTTCGTTTTTCTAACCTCAATTGTAGTGGAATAAATTATTTATAATGTTTGTATTTATACATATAATACTTATGTATATACTTGTTTATTACGTACAAAAAGATATAACTTATTAATTAATAAAGTTAATGTTGCAATAAGATGCATTTTGTTACTTTGTGTTCGTAAATTATTGAATCAAGGTCTTTTATAAACTGTCTTTTATTTTTTATCAAACAACAGCAATACCAAATGAAAGTGATTTTCAGTTTGGCTGTCAGAGTCTAGAATTTGCAAAAATATTTCCCCAGGTATGGAGGAATGGATGCATTGGCAAGATTCCGTAGATGAGAGAATTATTACAATAACTATACATTCCATCGAAAATGTCGTAAGTTCTTTTATTTGGAGAAAAATGATTTTCTAAGAAATGAGAAAACAAGCTTGTTCTGCTAACCATAAATAATAAAGAAATGAAATACTGTTAAGATAAAATATTGCCAATTTAAAATTAAGGGAAATGATGTAATTTATTCGTGTAATGATATAATTTAAAAATGTAATTTAATTTCTGAGTTATAAAACAGTTGATAAAGAAATTCAATTGTTCCTTTGAAAAATATTATGTTATTTGAAAAATCCAGCTCAACAAGGAGAACATAAGTGTATCGTTCACAGTGGAACACAATGCAGTCATTTTGGGAGAAAGCAATCCAACATTCGTTAGATCAATTTACGACGAAGGATTTTCAGTTTTCAGGATTGATTTTGCCGTTAATTTGCCAGTCCTGCCGAAGGATAAAGAGAGCCTTAATTCAATTGTGTCTAGTCCAGTTCTAAGTAAAAATTCGTTTATTATTATGGTTCATTTAATCACATGTATAGCTTATATAATATGTAATCATACCTTTTTTAATATTGCTTTTAATTCAAATCGTACACTTGCTTAGTAAAAGCTCTACAAACTCCAGAAACTAATGAAGAAGAAAGATCCTCAATTTTAAACGTTGAAGTTCGATCGAAGAATAGATCGATATTCAGTGCAAAGTCTGCGGCACATTTCACACCGGAATTATTGGGAATGTGCAATCTTGATTTAATACCAATCGCATTAGGTAATTCTATGTGTTAGTTAATTTTTTTTAAATTCAAAATTTAAAAATCTTCAAAATGCACGAATTCGATATTTGAAACTTTAAAAATTTCAGGAGAAGAGAGTTTCACTGAAAAGCTAATTCTAGAAACACCTACCTTCTCCTATGATGGTACGTTAGTATCCTGGCAGAATCTTCCCCGCCTGACAGTCACAGTTTGCCAATACCCAGCACCGTTATTTCAATTAGGCGAAATGAACTTTTTAAATGTCACCATTGAAAGCATATACAATCCTCCAGACTCATTCACCGCTGATTTGAAGTATAAAGTTGGCACGATAGCCTATATCGATAACGAGGTTTATACCGATATATTTATATTAACTAAACGACATTTCATAAACCACTAATCTGTTTGAATTTACAATATAAAAACTATGAGTATTCACATTTCATATTAGGTTCCTGAAAATGTATTTTTCGACAACGGTATATGGACGACAAGTCGTGACGTCGAAAGAACGAAACGATGGAACACTTTGCGCCATATTGAAAATCGAGCTCAATTATCGAAATACAAACTCGATTGCGATTTCGTGGGAGTGAGAAATCCGTTTAAAAAGCAGTTCCATCTGGCGGTAAAAGCTACCATATTTTTATTTACCTACTGACAGTAATTACCTAACCATTGTTTTGTTAGAAACAAACGTGTGAGGACATTAAAAGAATAGAATGGAATTCCTTGAACCGATGTGTCTTATGGAAGACAGGAATCGAAGCAATGAAAAATCATATTACGAAGTATGAATATTGATGAAACTTTATCCATGAAATAATTCTTGTTATTTTTTACACATAAACATACGGAACATATTAATTGTAAAAATTTAATTGTTCTTAAGATACAAGTATTGGCCCTTCCAATTCGAAGTAAGCACAGAAACTGCTACAGAGAAATCCAAAAATCGAAAAGATTCATTACCGACGATACAATTATATCAATGTTACGTGGATCTTTCAGAACTTCTTTTCCCAGGAAGTAAATTCCACAACTTTTCACTATGTAAACATGTCAATGTAAAATATTTCATATACCAAAAATATATGAAAATGTATTCATGCAGGAAGAAATTGTCGAATTGTAGGACAATTGTACACATACAATCCAATGGATATGTCAGAAAAAGTGGGTCTTGAGAATAATATCTTTATTATGGAAGTACAGCGTAAGGAAGTAAAAGAGAAAGAGAAAAAAATTAAAACCCCGAAGGTAAAACTGAAAAAATTATATAAAAATATTATTGGCAAAAATGATTCATATTTTGTAAAAATTGATATAGTTACATTATACGAACATATTATACTTTCTTTTATTCCTATCTTTACATTTTATCTTTCATTAAAATCTCTATGTGTTTCCCTTCATTGAAATCTTCACGTAAATATCTCCTTTCATTCAAGTCTCCAGGCACATTCCGCAACGTTACGAATTTTCTGCTTCCTACCAGACTCTAAAATTGTTCTACTATTTTTGTAACTAAATGTTTCATGAAAGTTATGTACATAATTATCGACACATGAACTTCCAATAAAACACAGATTCAATTAACAGACTCAATCGGTACAATCAGAGCGTGGAACAACAGCAAGTACAGCAATTATTACAGAAACTGGAGAACCTACAATTATAGTGATCGAAGTAGAACTCTACGAAGCTCTTTTCGCTTGTAGAATCGAGGAAGACTTTTCAAATATGTGAGTTTCGTGAAAATTGTACTATTCTTTATCTTCATGAAATTCTTTGGAAATTACAGGTCTCTTTATATCAACAAAAATTTGTAACATTATAATTTTAGTCTGTGATCTTAATAACGATTTTTTTCAGGATTACCGATATAATACCTGATATAGAGAAGAAACAGTATTACGTGTACTCCAGTAGCATAGCGGAAGCACAGTACGTGCATTGTATCCAAAAATTGGCGGAAGTTATAACGGAAAGTTATCGAGTATGATAATAATTAAAGTTATAAAAAAAATTACCATTTTGGTTGAAGTATATCTTAATTTCGTTGAATTTTTAATCTTTTTTTCAAGCTAGGATTTTTGCGACGAAAATATAGAAAAAGATACCAACGAAGAAAAACGAGAAGAAAAATATTGTTTCGATCCTGAATCGGTAATTATCGATAGAAAATAATGGTTCAACTATTCGAATTGTTAGATTTAACAGAAGTATGAGAAAACATCCATAACATTATTTACCAATATACGTATTTATTATAAACTTAACCTATAAATATCTTTACTCGGCTGCAGTCGTATTCGCACTGTGTATATAAAACAGAACAAACTATACAGATCTCACAGCAGTCAGTAAAGAAATAGTACATATATCGATAAATAAAGAACTCAATAAACTAAATATCAACTAACCTGTATTATCTCTACACGAATAAAATTCAGTTGAAATTCTTCAGGACGAAGTAACGTGCTTCACGCAGTATCTTTATAAAAACGGAGTGTACCAATCCATATGCAGCACATTAAGATTGAAAATTCCCATGTTGATAGACCAGAAATTCGACATGCCGAAAAATTTAGTGGATTCTAACAAGACTCATGTATTCTTCTTTTTCCCATATAAAAAAAAAGAGTCTTGTCTAAAAGCATAAAAAATAATATTAAAGAATATACGTTCATAATAAAATATCACTTTACATCGAAGAATTTTGTTTGCAGAATTTCATCTCCTCAGTATATACGTTTTTAGTGGAGCAAATGCACGTTGCCTTAAATAAAATGGTCGAAGGTCGATGCACGCAAGATCTACAAAGTGAAATAAACTCGAAGCTGTTGTATTTCTATGCTGAAGAGGCTTACGAGTTTGGGGACATGGAGAAAGCCAAACAGTATTACACAGAGGTAAGTAAGTTATGTTTAAAAATAGTTTAAAAGTTTTATTTTGTATATTCGCACGTGTCGCGTTGGGTGCTATTCGAAACTGCTGCGCATGCGCATAAGTTCAGTGAACCTCCACCATACCAAAAGAAACTAAAATGTATAGTTGCTAGAAGCGATATAGTGAGATCGTAAAATTCGTCAGGCGTCAAAGTACATGTAATCCAAGCGCCAAAACAGCAATTTGAACGTCAACTCGGAATAGGTTCTTCCATTGCGGTATATTTAAGAAATTTGTCTGCGCCTTAACCCGTAACAGTTGCACGTTAATTTTTACCAATACTGCAATTATTATTGAGCAAAAAGTGATGGAAGCTTAATACTGTATATAACTTTAATGAAAGATTCTAAGCAGAAAATTTTAATATCAATTCATAAATAATACACGGCCCTGAGAGTGGTTATACCAATTGGCGTCGCCGCATAGTGCTTTAATTTACATCACTACATCGTTTCCACCAACAGTACATTATTACCAAATAAAACTTTAAAATTGTATTTTACGTTTGAGGTCAATTTTATGTGTCCCACCTGATATCACTTTTTCAGGTAATAATGTCTGACAAACGTGATCCTTATCCTTGGACGCAATATGCGATTTTTCTTAGAAAAATCGGCGACGTAAATCGCGCGACGGAATGCTGTTTAGAAGCCATCACATTGGATAGACAATATGCAACCGTGTGAGTATAAATTCTCCTATGCATGTATACTTATAATCAATAAAACTCCAATATAAATTCCTCTGATTTTAGATTATTAGTGTACGCGATGATCTTGTTCGAAAGCAGAGACTACAAAGGGGCAGAAATTTTCCTGCGAGCCATCACTGACTTTCATCCACGTTTCTTTGAAGGTTGGGCGATTTTGCACCTTTTCTACTTAAAAACGGAATACTATGCAGGTAAAAAAATTCTCTCATAATGATTTTTGGTGATCAGTAATTAGTTAACAATTAATAAGCAGAGAGAAGCTGGTTGATTCAATACTGGCCTATATCATTTACTATAGCAAAAGGCGAAGTTTTCTATTTGACGTCACTTTCTCAATTGCGAGAAAATCATTATGCTGAATTAACACTTTTTAATATTAAATGATATTATTAACATCGTAGGAGTCGATCTTTCGCTTCGTATAGCAGAAAAATGTATGCAG